TACTGGTTTATACTGGTTTGTACTGGTTTGTACTGGTCTGTACCGGTATTGGGTTTTTCCTTACTGGGAGGGGCGGTGGGCGTGTCCTCACCGCGGCCCCTCCCCCCAGCGTGACGTCATCGGTGACGCCTCGGAGTCGGCGCTGCTGAAGTTCGCGGAAGTGACGTCGGGGTCGGTGGCGGCCGCCAGGGGGCGCTACCCGAAGGTGGCGGAGCTGCCGTTCAACTCGAGCAACAAATTCCAGGTGAGCCCGACAGGTGGGACCGGACAGGTGAGACTGACAGGTGAGACTGACAGGTGAGACAGGTGAGAGACCCACAGGTGAGACAGGTGAGAGACAGACAGGTGAGAGACCGACAGGTGAGAGACAGGAGAGACAGGTGAGAGACCCACAGGTGAGACAGGTGAGACAGGTGAGACAGACAGGTGGGACCGGACAGGTGAGATACAGACAGGTGGGACAGGTGAGATACAGACAGGTGGGACAGGTGAGACTGACAGGTGGGACAGGTGAGAGACCCACAGGTGAGACAGGTGAGCCCCGACAGGTGAGAGACCGACAGGTGAGACAGGTGGGACAGGTGAGATACAGACAGGTGAGCCCCGACAGGTGAGACTGACAGGTGAGAGACAGACAGGTGAGACCGGACAGGTGAGACAGGTGAGACTGACAGGTGAGACAGGTGAGACCGGACAGGTGAGACAGGTGAGAGACAGACAGGTGGGACAGGTGAGAGACAGGTGAGACTGACAGGTGAGACAGGTGAGAGACTGACAGGTGAGAGACAGACAGGTGAGAGACAGACAGGTGAGAGACAGACAGGTGAGACCGGACAGGTGAGACAGGTGAGACTGACAGGTGAGACAGGTGAGACCGGACAGGTGAGACAGGTGAGAGACAGACAGGTGGGACAGGTGAGAGACAGGTGAGACTGACAGGTGAGACAGGTGAGAGACAGACAGGTGAGAGACAGACAGGTGAGAGACAGACAGGTGAGATATGGACAGGTGAGACCGGAGACTGGTGAGAGACAGGTGAGAGACAGGTGAGAGACAGACAGGTGAGACAGACAGGTGAGACTGACAGGTGAGACTGACAGGTGAGAGACAGGTGAGATACAGACAGGTGAGACCAACAGGTGAGACAGGTGTGCTCAAAGCGCATCCTGGATGTACCCCAGGTGTACCCCAGGTGTCTCTCACCTGTCTCAGGTGTGTCTCAGGTGTATCCCAGGTGTGTCTCACCTGTGTGTGTCTCACCTGTGCAGGTGTCGGTGCACGAGGCCGGCCCCCAGCAGCTCCTGGTGTATCTCAGGTGTATCTCACCTGTCTCAGGTGTATCCCAGGTGTCTGTAACCTGTCTCAGGTGTATCCCAGGTGTATCTCAGGTGTATCCCAGGTGTCTCAGGTGTCACTAACCTGTCTCAGGTGTGTCTCAGGTGTCTGTGTCTCACCTGTGCAGGTGTCGGTGCACGAGGCCGGCCCCCAGCAGCTCCTGGTGCTCAAGGGCGCCCCCGAGCGGGTCCTCGAGCGCTGCCGGGGGGCGCTGCGGGGGGGGGAGGAGCGGCCGCTGGACCCCGAGTGGAGGCGGAGCCTGGAGGGGGCGTGTCTGGAGCTGGGGGGGCGGGGCGAGAGGGTGCTCGGTGAGTGGGGGAGCAGGTGATCCAGGTGTATCCCCCATGTCAGCCAGGTGTGCCCCCCAGGTGTGTCCCCAGGTGAGCCCCCAGGTGATCCAGGTGTGCCCCCCAGGTGATCATGGTGACCGGTGACCACCCGGTGACGGCCAAGGCCATCGCGGCGCAGGTCGGGATCATCTCCGAGGGCAGCGAGACCCCCGAGGACGTGGCGGCGCGCCTGCACCTGCCCCTCGAGACAGGTGCAGCCCAGGTGAGGCTCAGGGGGGACAGGTGTGGCACAGGTAACTCAGGTGTGACACCTCACAGGTGCAGCCCAGGTGAGGCTCAGGGGGACGGGGGGGACAGGGGGGACAGGTAACTCAGGTGTGGGACAGGGAACTCAGGTGTGACACCCCCCAGGTGTGTCACAGGTAACTCAGGTGTGTCACAGGTAACTCAGGTGTGTCCCAGGTAACTCAGGTGTGACACAGGTAACTCAGGTGTAACTCAGGTGTATCTCAGGTAACTCAGGTGTGTCCCAGGTGTATCTCAGGTGTGTCCCAGGTGTATCTCAGGTGTGTCTCAGGTGTGTCCCAGGTAACTCAGGTGTGTCCCAGGTATCTCAGGTGTGTCACCTGGCCGTACAGGTGTGTGACAGGTGTGTTGTCCCGCAGCCAGGCGCGCGCCCGCGTGGTGACGGGCTCGGAGCTGGCGGCGCTGGCTCTGTGGGTGTGTCCCAGGTAACTCAGGTGTATCTCAGGTGTATCTCAGGTGTGTCCCAGGTATCTCAGGTGTGTGACAGGTGTGTTGTCCCGCAGCCAGGCGCGCGCCCGCGTGGTGACGGGCTCGGAGCTGGCGGCGCTGGCCCCGGGCGCGCTCGAGGAGCTGCTCCGCGCCCACCCCGAGATGGTTTTCGCCCGCACGTCGCCGCAGCATCCCCATTTTTCACCCATTTCTCACCCGATTTTCACCCAATTTTTTTTGTTTTTTTCCCCGTTTTCCCCCATTTTCTCCCCATTTTTCACCCAATTTTCACCCATTTTTCACCCGATTTTCACCCAATTTTTTTTATTTTTCCCCCGTTTTCCCCCATTTCCCCCCCATTTTTTCCCCATTTTTCACCCATTTCTCACCCGATTTTCACCCAATTTTTTTTGTTTTTTTCCCCGTTTTCCCCCATTTTCTCCCCATTTTTCACCCAATTTTCACCCATTTTTCACCCGATTTTCACCCAATTTTTTTTATTTTTCCCCCGTTTTCACCCATTTCCCCCCCATTTTTCCCCCATTTTTCACCCATTTTTCACCCAATTTTTTCTGTTTTTCCCCCATTTTTCCCGTTTTCCCCCATTTTCCCCCCGTTTTCCCCCAGGGCGCCATCGTGGCGGTGACGGGCGACGGCGTCAACGACTCGCCGGCGCTGAAGAAAGCCGACATCGGCGTGGCCATGGGCATCGCCGGCTCCGACGCCGCCAAGAACGCGGCCGACATGATCCTGCTGGACGACAACTTCGCCTCCATCGTCACCGGCGTGGAGCAAGGTGAGACACACCTGGGACAGGTGAGAGACCTGGGACACACCTGGGACAGGTGGGACACACCTGGGACACACCTGGGACAGGTGAGACACACCTGGGACAAGTATGGGACAGGTGGGACAGGTGTGGGACAGGTGATCCTGCTGGACGACAACTTCGCCTCCATCGTCACCGGCGTCGAGCAAGGTGAGACACACCTGGGACAGGTGAGAGATCTGGGACACACCTGGGACACACCTGGGACACACCTGGGACAGGTGAGACACCTGGGACAGGTACGGGACACCTATCCTTGCTCACCTGGGCTGTCTCCTCACTCACCTGTCCCTCTCACCTGTCCCCCTCACCTGTCCAATCACACCTGGGACAGGTGAGACACCTGGGACAGGTACGGGACACCTATCCTTGCTCACCTGGGCTGTCCTCGCTCACCTGTCCCACTCACCTGGGCTGTCCGTCTCCTCACTCACCTGTCCCTCTCACCTGTCCAATGCTCACCTGTCCCCTCTCACCTGTCTCCTCACTCACCTGGGGGGGTCACACCTGTCCAATGCTCACCTGTCCAATGCTCACCTGTCCCAATGCTCACGTGTCCCACTCACCTGTCAGGGCTCACCTGGGGGGGTCACTCATCTGTCTGGCTCACCTGTCCGGCTCACCTGGGTGGGGTCACTCACCTCTCTGGCTCACCTGTCCGGCTCACCTGAGCTGTTCACTCACCTGTCCGGCTCACCTGTCCGGCTCACCTGGGTGGGGTCACTCACCTGTCCGGCTCACCTGTCGCCGCAGGCCGGCTGATCTTCGACAACCTGAAGAAGTCGATCGCGTACACGCTGACCAAGAACATTCCGGAGCTGACGCCGTACCTGATCTACATCACGGCCAGCGTGCCCCTCCCGCTGGGCTGCATCACCATCCTCTTCATCGAGTGGGCACACCTGGGCACACCTGGGCACACCTGGGCACACCTGGGCACACCTGGGGGCAGCTGGGAGGGGATACATGGGAAAAACTGGGTGAAATTTGGGTGGAAAATGGGTCAAAAATGGGGATTTTGGGGGGTTTGGGGTTACCTGGGCACACCTGGGCACACCTGGGCATACCTGGGGACACCTGGGCACACCTGGGGACACACCTGGGCACACCTGGGGGCAGCTGAGCCTCATGTGACCTCACCTGGGCACACCTGGGAGTACCTGTGCTCACCTGTGCTCACCTGAGCCCCCAATTTTCACCTGTCCCAGGTGTTTTCTCCAGGTGTGGTGGGTTTTGGGGTGGTGGGCGTGGCCGGGGCGGGTCTCTCACCTGTGCCCGCCCTCACCTGTGCCCACCTGTGCCCACCTGCGCAGTTCCCGTCGGTGTCGCTGGCCTACGAGCGCGCCGAGAGCGACATCATGCACCTGCGGCCGCGCAACCCCCGGCGCGACCGATTGGTCAACGAGCCCCTGGCGGCCTACTCCTACTTCCAGATCGGTGAGGGGGCACGCACCTGGGCGCACCTGGGCGCACCTGGGCAGGGTTACCTGTGTGCTCACACACCTGTGACACACCTGGGCGCACCTGGGCACACCTGGGCGCACCTGGGCACACCTGGGCACACCTGTGACACACCTGGGCACACCTGTGACACACCTGGGCACACCTGGGCGGGGCACCTGGGCGGGCACGCACCTGTGTCACACCTGGGCACACCTGTGACACACCTGTGCGCACCTGGGCACACCTGTGACACACCTGGGCGCACCTGGGCGCACCTGTGACACACCTGTGCACACCTGGGTGGGGCACCCGGGCGGGCACGCACCTGTGACACACCTGGGCACACCTGGGCGGGGCACCTGGGCGGGCACGCACCTGTGTCACACCTGGGCACACCTGTGACACACCTGTGCGCACCTGGGCACACCTGTGACACACCTGGGCGCACCTGGGCGCACCTGTGACACACCTGTGCACACCTGGGTGGGGCACCCGGGCGGGCACGCACCTGTGACACACCTGGGCACACCTGGGCGGGGCACCTGGGCGGGCACGCACCTGTGTCACACCTGGGCACACCTGTGACACACCTGTGCGCACCTGGGCACACCTGTGACACACCTGGGCGCACCTGGGCGCACCTGTGACACACCTGTGCACACCTGGG